AGGTTACTCTTATGAAGTCAAAATCCCCTACCAGCTGGCCCCCGATTGGCCAGCCGACCCACTAGGCGCGTCGTATTTCTCGGCAGGCCACTTCCAACGCCTTTAGTCTGCTAGGGGAAATATCCGACATCCACGGCGGTCCTTGAAAACCTGATCACCTCCATCCTGTAGGCTCAGGTCCGCCCTCGCTCTGTTGCCACATCATTCGCACGACAAAAGGATGCTGCGTCCTATCCGGTTCTCGGCACCGTAGTGCATGCACCTCCCGCCACGCATACCCATGGTAGTCCGACAGTCATTCGTAACTGAAAACTCGAGCTTACCGCCGCGCCCCTGTTTTAGGTCCGACCAAGGCCCAGTTAGAAGTACATTGTCTGCCTCGTGTATTCAGCTTTTGACACCAAAACTCCAATCTTTTAGGACCCACCCGAGTCCGTTTGCGACCAAGTTCGGACCGACACCAAAACTCCAATCTTTTAGGACCCACCCGAGTCCGTTTGCGACCAAGTTCGGACCGCCACTCCAGCCAATCAAAGGGTTAGAATGCAGGTCCGGATGCCCGAGGACATCCATAAACACCATACCCGCATGCATGCATACGTCAAAACCATGCGAAAAAACAGCAAAAGAAGAACAACTGTTTTTCATTCCAAAGAAAAAAAGCCTACGGCTGGTAGGCAGCCGCCCGATAACGGTTCCCTTTGAGGATCTTGCAGCGTGTATAGACATCCGACTTGGATTACTTCACCCGAGGATGGCAGTGGTCAGAGGAGAGTTCGAGTTTCCTCATCCAATAGCCTAGTCGTTCATGAGAGACATCCAAGAGGTACTGCTGGAATTCATCGACCCGATAGTGAGGGTATATGGTGACCACTACAGATTCACAGCGTGTGTTTGGATGATGTGTCCACCTATAACACCAGGATCTTAGGAGCCTTTCTGCTAACCGACAATGTCAAGTCTCTATTTGAACAAGTTTCGCGACATTTTGCGTCGACATATAGAGCTGTTGGGTTTTTGCTCTTTGTTTTGTACGAGTACATTCGACATGCTTTTCGGTTGAATATGATTAAGGTTTCTACCTTATCTGTCTTTGCCTTTTATGATTTATCATTCTGTGTTTCTCGTCTTCTGTGTCATTTTTCCTTGGAAATGTTAATATTATTGTGTGAACGAGATTACTTTTCCAGTTTTAGGGTTACAAAAGCCTGCTTGCGCCTGCTTGATCTGTTTGCATGTGCATTCCTCTTTTGTATCTTCTCTCATCCATGTCATATGACTGCTTTACTGTCCAACGATCCAACCTCGACTGGCGAACAGATATATAAACAATGAATAACAGTCACGAACACGTGAATTAACATGAAGAGAGACTTGATGGGAGACAAGGACGAACGAACAAAGACATAGATTGTCATACAAGGACCACAAAGGCCGTTCCAAAACAAAAAAAAATTGTCTTCATTATGTACAACGACATGCAAATAACGATAATGATGGATGTACCTCATCTACCCTACTTGGTAGTACTATATTTTCTACGAGCTACTATAGACCACCATGCTACCTTTCTCGAATACACTTCCTGCCCTAAACAACTTTATAGTAGTCTGAACTACTCTACATTACCCTTGGCTACTATGCATTACTCTACCGTTCAATGCTCTCAACAATTTACTATCCTCCCCGACAATATACTCTCCTGAGAACTCACATTACTCTGTCGGCAAACTGCTACTAACCTTCAATTAACTCGCTTACCTTGGCGCTGGCGTGAAACCGTGATGGCTGCCACTGGCGGCCAACAGCGGGGTTCACGTGTGATGGCGGGCGTTGGGAGGGTCGTCAGAGTTGTCGTCGACAAATGGCGACATGCGGAGGAGGACGTCGGGAGGGAACGGCCAGACTTCAGGAGGAGAGCAGTCGTGTGGGGAAGGGAACGCGGGTCGACAATTCCCGCCCTCACCGATGTCAAATCGCGGCCCATCTGACCCGTCGATCTTTCGGATTGACGAACCAAATCGGTCCCGATTTCAAATTGGTGCCCCCGCTCCGAAAAAAATTCCCCCCCTCCACCCCCCCCCCCCCCCCCCCCCCCCCCCCCCCCCCCCCCCAGGTGATCGACCAGGTCCCCAGGCGGCCGGGGAGACCAGCCTAGGTTATATTTTGATTTTCATATTATGTTATATAATAAATATATCGTCTAACAGAGCTGCCCAGTAAACCGTAGGCAGAGAGGGAGAAGAGGACAAGAAACAAACACACAACTATACAATGTGTATACATACATCCTTTTCTATTACGTTCTATGAATTTATGTGTACGTAGTGAAAGATCTAACAGTTATACCCATTGATATATTACATACAATGAGAAGGGGAGACAAATACATAAAGAGATGGAGAGAGAGAGAGCAAGTGATAGAGATGATGACTGATACCATTTCATTTTCATGATTTGAAATAATTTTCTATAAACTTAATATGGATTTGAACGACCACTTTATTTGTTTTTTCTGTCCAATAAAAACTTTTACCGTTCTCAAGCAACAGACGGATATAACACGTACCATCGTGCACAACAAGCATTGATATTCAAGCAAATGCCACAAATAACCTAGAACAATTGAGTCATCGTCAAAAATATTACGAAATGCGCATTGCACATTTTCATCGTCGACGTTTAGCCACAACACATCGACAAGTGGTTTGCTACGAGGAGACTATTACTTTGTGGCACCTTATATAACCGACCAACTTAAAATTCTAATTTAAAAACTATCAAAGACACGGAAAAACGCTCACGAAGCATGCATCGATATGACGTGGATGTCTATATTCTACATAATGACTACGATAAAAAATTCACAAATTTAAAAAGGCGGACCCTTTGTTAGCACAGCTATGCCGGGGAACGCTTATTATGATCTGCACAATGATTATCTAAGTCATCCTGCTGTTGTCAATGCTCGCGAGCTCTAGATAGTATCTCGGCTAGATACCGATCACTTGCTTCGCTTGAGTCTATAATACGACCTTTGCCTCCCATGCGCAACAAAATGTCGTCTTCGTACGGATCAAGTGCGCCGCATAGGCCCTCAGCTTGCTCCTTAGCGCTTGAGAATATATGTCTTCTTCCCCGTAGAAACGTCCACGGTATAGGTGGCAATCCAGGATTCCAGCTCAATGGTATCCGTGACAGCCCAGGATTCCAATGACTCGTTGCAGTATGACTAGAAACAAGCAAGAAAAACAGCCATCATTTGCTGAACTATACGAGTGCGAAAACTTGGATGATGTTCAATTTATCCATAGGTGCAACAACACAAAGGAGGACGCCGTCGAAATGAACGTATTAAACTATATCAAGTGTGGAATGGTCTTTAGCCGTTTGTATGCGACAGTCGTATACTTGATAGCGATATATATAATAGATGTGGAGTAGGCGGATAGCGGAAGCTCATTTTTTCCATTGGAAGGTTGTCAACGTTGAGACTCTTTACATAAAAAATTACGGGGGTCGATAACCAGTAGACACCTATCAAATATGTAGGACTGCCAAGCATTTCTTTACTAAGAAGATGTTGACGGGGAGGTTAATTTTTCAGCAAATAGATCATGAACATAAAGTGTGTCATGAGTAGGCATTCGGATCATGTAGAAGAGTACAAAACAACACGTCATATTGAATTGTATATTGGGGCATTGGTGGCCATCAAAGCATTGCGTTGCGTAAAGGACGTAAATAAATAATATAACGTTGCCATGGGACCTGGCTCCACTCCTTCAGAAATGTGCAAAATGATAATAGATCTTCTGCTATAACTTGGAAAGATATGCTGTCATATTTTTCTTTTTTCCTGGATGTGAGGAATAGTGAAGCGAGGTGCATCATCCGAACAGTGTTGCCAAATTCAACTAAGCCTGTCTAAAAATAAACGCAAACTTGTGCAACTGTACCAAAACTTTTGCGGCCACGGGCCAAAACCGAATAAAAAATGTCACGCGTGCATCAGAGCTTGGCGAACAATGGGGACTTTATGCTCATGAACTTTGTCTGACATTTATTGGTACCTTAATATATAAATAAGTGAAGGTCACTCCCACTAAATATTATACCTGCTGCATGGCATTGTGCTTCCAACATATGTTAGGATGGGCTGTACTGTTGACATATGCGATTAGGTCTCTGCACAAACATCGAACACTTGTGCAACTGAATCAAAGCAGTTGGCGGCGCACGCCAAAAGAAAAACAAAAATGCCACACTCACATTCCGACAAAGCTTGGTGCGCAGCGGAACCCTCCTGGTCCCTCCTTTAAATAGTATGTGTTTATTTTATTTTACCATTGTACCCCTTACGCGGGCGAAGCTGCACTGGCCCATCTTGTTATTATTATTATTATTATTATTTTTTGCAACTTCGGATATTAGCATTTTGTTTTTTGTTTCACTCTGGGCATATGAGGTGAATTAGGGAGGTTGTTATATTCTTAGACTGGATCTATTCTGCTCTGAAAGTGGAACCTCCAATCTATTTCGCGCGAATTTTTTTTTTCAAGATCGCATTTTTTTTGAAAGCCGAAACTTTGCGACACCTTGCCTAGATCTCGCTCGTAGTACTCCTCCGTAATACCTCACTGATATCAAATCGACAGATTTTCAAAAAAAAAAAAAAAAGGGGGGGGGGGGATCCTCTTCCTTTTTTTTTCTTTTTTTTTTTTATTCTGTTGGTTAGGATCAGGAATGGAAAGTGCAGTTTGGTTACCTTCCTGCGTTTCCCTCCCACCCAGCCCTTTGTCTGCATTCCCGGTTTGGTAAGTGCCACGCCAGCAACAATACCACGTCATTAACAGTGCCATGTCAGCAGTGCCACGTCAGCAGTGCCACGTCAACAGTGCCCTGCCACCATGACGGTTTCAGTTTTGCCAGGCCAGCTGGCCAACGAGTCCATTGTCGAGTACCGATAGCGGTTCCTTGCCCAGCTCACACTGATCGAGGTTGAGGAACAGCGCCAGGCGGCAGCCAAGGCTGCCCACCTACACGCTGAAGCGGAAATAGAAAATGAAAAGCAGGGGCTTCAGGCCGCAGCTGACGCAGATGCCCAGGTCGCTGGAAGGAGGCCCAGGATCTGCTGCAGCGGCACGAAGCCGCCAACGTCGACAGGCTCAAGTTTTTTGGCGTTTTGAACCATCTGAGGGCCACAACCACACGACACTGGAAGAGCAGCACAAGGAGTTTCTCGCCAAACTTGTGACCTGGTTGGTTTACACTTGTAACCACCTACAGTCCGAGGTGGCAAATCTCGGACGGTCAGTGCGGAACCACAACGATCTGCACGAGGATGCTACATGGGCACTCCATTCCCGTGTACAAAACTTGGAGCAAGCAGCACCAGGACCAGATGGTGGCGAACCCAGCAATGCAACCTCAACCCGCCAGTTGGAGCAACGAGTTGACCATGTAGTCGCAATGCTCGGCGATATCAACACCTTTGCCGCACCAGCCACCATCAGCGAGCAGCTCGATACCTTGAAGACCGAGGTTCGACAACTACACCAGCTGCCCGACAACGATGGCAACACCAGTGCATCGTGGGCGTACAAGACGCTGATGTTCCGGATCGAGAAGTTTGATGACTATACGCATCAGGACCCAGTCACTTGGTGGCAAGGATTTACAACGGAGATTGAGATTCATGAGGTCCCCAATCACTTGTGCATCTCAACGTTGTTCCTCAATGCCAAGGGCGGATGCCAGATCTGGCTCAGTCACATGGCAACCATCCACGGCGTCCAGGTCTTCGACCTGCACAAGAAGATCTCCTGGGACGATATGACGAAGGAATGGAAGAAGCGGTTTATTGTGGACGATGCCCCGACGCTCGCTATCAACCGCCTCTTCGCCATGACTCAAGGCAACACACCGACACGCGATTGGCTGACCGAATGGCAAAAGATCGTGGCAACACCCGATCTCGAGTTGTCATTTTCACATATGCACCGGGAGTTCTACAACCGGTCGTGTGCCGCCTTGAGCCTCGCACTCGGTGATTGAGAACAGTTCCACGACCTTCGCTGAAATCATCGACAAGGCACGTGAGATCATCAAGACTAACCGGGCTGCTGCACACGAGAAGTCAGCATGGCAGCCAGCCCATGTAGAGAAAAGAAAATTTGGTCCGCGTCCGCAGCCCATTGCTGCAAGCCAACCGGACAACATTGTGGAAGACCGGGTAGGCACCCCAGCATCACGTGAGGGAGATCAAGTGGCGGATATCCAGCCGCGAAGCAACAGCAACTCCCGTGGAAAAGGGAAGGCGAAATCTGCATCGCCAATCGGAAATGGACAACCAGTACCATGGGTCAAGTTCAACTTGACCGAGGCCGAATACCAGTACCGCAACCGATACAGCTACTGCCATTGGTGCAATAGCACCAAGCACAAGACCTCCCATTGCACCAATCACAAGACCTCCCAATGCCAAGATCAAGGCAAGGAGGATGGTCGACCTCGAATCAGCTCGGGAAACTGAGCTGCGCGGGAGGTGAGGCGACTCCGCCTCTCACTCGGCCAGATTCGGCCGCCTTGCTAACGAGGCGACTCCGCCTCTCACTCGGCCAGATTCGGCCGCCTTGCTAACGACCACCTACACATCTGGGGAGAATGCGGATGTCGCGAGTCCTCGGTTCACGTACGAGGATTACGCTGTCCACTTGGTCCCACCGTTGGACCAACCACTCCACGTGCAACAATCCACCGCATGCACCGTTTCACCACCATCGGCAACCGACTCTGCAGCTTCGCTGCCAACTTTCGTCGGTATTCAACGTCATGGTCAAGACTTGAGAGACTCGACCCATTGACGGTCACAGACTTCCAATGGATGCCCCTTTTCCTGACTGGTTGATTGCCGAAAGTGCATTGCAACGTGCTCATGGCACAATTGCGGGATTACTTGCACACTGCAGTACGAGCTCCGTTGATGAACGTTGGAGTAGAGGTTGTTGACCTTCACGACTACGTTGCAAAGATCGCCCACGAGTTCAAGACACAACGGTACGACACCAACGACGCACCATTGTTGTACATACACATTCAGATCGGAGAAGCGACCTGCAGCGCTCTGATCGATTGCGGAGCTACTCGCAACTATATGAGCCAAGACTTTACGCGCTGGCCTTGGGCCACTGGTTCGGAGGAAGTCCCAACCCACGCAAGTCACATTGGCCGACGGTCACACAAGTCAATTCGACCGATGCATTGATTCCGTCCCCGTGTACTTCGCCCTGCATGCAAGCGAGGTTGTGTCCTTCGACATTTTGGACACCCAGTTCGACATGATTTTGGGCATGTCATGGCTGCAAAGTGAGGATCACCCGGTGAACTTCTACCGCCCCACCGTTCACGTTCGTGATCGGAACGGAGTACTAGTCCCGTGCACGGTGCCTCCACCTCACCCTTCGATGAGTTGTCACGTGGTGTCCACCGCAAGCATTCGAGCTTCCATCACCAGGGACGACATCGGGGAGATGGGGGTGTGTTCTCTCCACTCCCTCCCTCCCCATGACATCCCATTGACGGACACATTGACAGACCCACGCATCACCGAGCTTCTCAACTCCTACGGCGACGTGTTTGAAGCCCAGGACAGAGTAGTATCGGATCGGCCTATCCGTCACGAGATCATCCTCGAGGCCGGGGCCGTACCTCCGCGTGGCTGCATCTACCGAATGAGCGAGGAAGAGTTAAGTGTGCTACGAGCACAACTCGACTACCTTCTTGAGAAAGGCTGGATTTGACCTAGCTCTTCGCCATAAAACGCTCCCGTTTTCTTCGTCCGGAAGAAGAAAAAGGACTTGCGGTTGTGCATCGATTATTGCAAGCTCAACGCACAAACCGTCAAGAATGCCGACCCTCTCCCTCTCATCGACGACCTTCTCGAACGGCTGGGTGGCGCTAAATTTTTCTCCAAGCTTGACCTAAAATCAGGATATCACCAACTCGAGATCCGGCAGGAGGACCGCTACAAGACCGCGTTCAAGACGCGATATGGACATTTCGAATGGTTGGTTATGCCTTTTGGCCTTACGAATGCCCCAGCCACGTTCCAAGCGTCTATGACGACGGAGTTCCGACACATGCTGGACATATTTGTACTCATCGACCTCGATGACATCTTGGTGTACAGTCGAAGTTTGGACGAGCATGAGGAACACCTGCACACCGTTTTGGAACGGCTACGACAAGCCAACTACAACGCCAACCGCGATAAATGCGAATTCACGGGGCAAGAGCTCGAGTACTTGGGCCATTTTGTGACACCGCAAGGCCTCCATCCGCTCGCGGACAAGATCGATGCCATCCGAGTATGGCCGGAGCCCACCAACACCACGGAAGTTCGCTCATTCATGGGGTTGGCGGGCTACTACCAACGCTTCATCACCGGGTACTCAAGGAGCGCTGCACCATTGACGAGACTACAATCGCCAAAGGTGCCATTCGTATTCAGCGACGAAGCGCCTCGGTCATTCCAAGCACTCAAGGCGGCCATGCTCATGGCACCCGTCCTTAGCATCTACGACCCAACCTTGCCAACGAGAGTGACGACTGACACTTCCAGCTATGGCATTCGGGCAGTCTTGGAACAACACGACGGTGACGACTAGCACCCCGTGGAGTATTTCAGCCACAAGGTGCCTCCCATCAACTCACTTGATGATGCAAGGACGAAGAAGTTGCTCGCATTCGTGATGGCTCTCAAGTGATGGCGCCACTTCCTCCTTGGGCGTTGTAGGTTCACACGGGTCATTGATAACAACCTGTTGACCCAGAAGATGCAAGATACGGTGAGCAGCACGATCGGACGATGGATGTACTCCATCGACCAAATTGACTTCACATTGAAACATCTCGCCGGCCTCTCTAATCGCGCAACAGATTCACTCTCACGAAGACCCGATCTTTGCGCTATGACACATCATGCCTTTGTGTTCAATGAGGAACTCCAGCGGCACTTCATCTGGGGCTATGAGTCTGATTCAGATTATGCCACACTCTATGTGCAGTTATCTTCGGATCACCTATCGCATCGTCGACAGGTACTTGTTCCTCCACTCGCGAGGCAAGGACTTATAATATGTCCCACGAGACCGTCGTCTTAGGACTCGCCTTCTCGGCAGGTACCACAACTCGCAATTCGCCGAACATTTTGGAGTCAATCGGACTATCGCACGACTTCGACAATGATTCCAGTGGCCGACCTCATTACCGACGTCACTCGGTATTGCGAATCTTGCGAAGTTTGCCGAAGAAGCAAGCCCCGCAACCGGAATCCCTACGGCGAGTTGCGCCCGTTGCCTATCCCACGGGAACCCGGCCTCTCCATTGCCATGGACATCACCGGCGTGTTTCCCCGCAACCGCTTCGTGCACGACGACATCCTCACGGTCGTTGATCGATTGAGTAAATATGCGCAATTTCTCCCTTGCAAGTACTACGCCATGACTCCCGAACTTGCGCGCCTCTTGCACAACGGCTGGATTTGCAGCCACGATGTACAGGAAGACATCGGTAGCGATTTCAACACTAGTTTCGTGTCGACATTCTGGACTTCTCTCATGCAGGAATCCGACACCAAAATGAAACCATGTTTGGCTCGGCATCCACAAACGGAGCGGGCAAACGGAGCGGGCACATCAAACCACTCAAATGATGCTTCGTACGCTCATCCGTCCGGATCAGAAGGATTGGGTTGACCGCCTCCCCGACATCTAGTTCGCCTACAACACTTCGTTGCATTTGGCGATCGGCGTGACTCCATTCGAGTTGCACCACGGCGGCCGAAAAGGTCGTATCTTCACTGATTTTCTCCTTCCGCGAACAACCGACATAGACGTCGCTTGCTCTCCCGCTTCCATTCAGAAGTACAAAGAATTGCTGGCTCAAGCCCGCACGAACATGCAAAAGGCTCATGTCCGCATGCAGCAGCAGGCCAACAGGCATCGCGTGCCATGTCCCATCCGCGCCGAGGATCTGGTTGGGGTCTCTGCGGAAGAGTTTGCACTCGAACAAGATGTTTCGCGCAAACTACTCCCCAAGTGGTTTGGACCATGACCCGTAACATCAGCCGTGGGCGATGAGCCTGATGGCCCCTCATTTGTGATCAACATTCCCCCGCATCTGCCAATCCATCCAGTCTTTCACGCCTTGCAGCTGGCGACATACACACCAGCTAAGAGCGACGATTTCTCGAGCCGACGATCGCAAGACCCTCCGTCTACGGATGGTCATCAGGCAGTCGACCGTGCATCACGGATCGCAAGTACGGGAACAAGCCTCGACAGTACGAAGTTACCTTCAAAGCATGCGATCCTGACGACACTCGATGGATTTCACGAGCAGATTTGCAAGCATCCGCACCGCTGATCTACGCTCACTCCGAATGACAAAGACTAGCTAAGGAAGCTTCACGACTTGCCCCTCCCAACCGAACTTTGGTCCCTCCCTCCGACAGGCAGCTTCACCCTCGCAGGTAAGCTCGGTCTTTCAAGGAGGGGGAGGTGTGGCATACTGCGCATCCACACGGGCCTGCAGGGCCCGACTAAACAGAAAATAAGGGCTCTCCAGACCGTGTGTCGTTTCAGCCTGAAAGCCTAGAAAGGAGGGCCATCTTCAGGTCCTTAGGCGCCAGACCAGGGTTTAGTGCAGGCCATTTTTAGGCCCGTTTCAAGACAACCTTTGTTTGAACTTCGGTGCCAGGGTCTGGCACGATTTGGCATTGGCAAGAGCAGCCTCCCAGCCGGACCAGCACTATATAGTACTGGTCCGCCAGGCACCTCCCAGACAGTTCACGGGCACTTCACGTGCAGGAGGCAGGAGACAGTCTTCAGGATCCGGCGCTGAAGTAGTAGTAGCTAGCATTAGGAGTAGTCTTCAGCACTGGGCGCTGCTAGGAGCCTAGAGTAGCGTTGAGAGAGAGAGAGAGGTGGCGGAGGGCCGGAGGCCAGGGAGACTTACATGTGGCGCCATAGCTCCAGTTTCGTCTTCGATGTACCTGCAACAAGGCGCCACCTTCACAGGTTAGTACCGGACTGAGACAGAGAGAGAGAGAGAGAGAGACAAAGTGCAGCAATTCGGACATCTTCCTCTTCTAAGTCCACCATCTCTCCCTCACCCTCTCGCTACCTGACTTCTCGCTATCTGGCAGACTACGAGAGAGAGAGAGAGAGAGAGAGAGAGAGAGAGAGAGAGAGAGAGAGAGAGAGAGAGTTGTGACTTTGGGATGTTGACGACATTTGGATACAGACTCAACCTTGTGACAGAGACATTGATGGGAGACTATTTGGGACCGATATCGACGGCATTGGTGTTGGCGACATTCTCATCTTCTCCCTCCTTCGTTTGATCTCCTCCTTTTCGTATGTGTATGGTCTGGACCTGGCACATTCTTCCTGTGTGTAGCGCCAGGCCCTTCACACCTTGCGATGATGATGATGTATGATTGGTCTTCATTGCGACATTGATGGATCTGTTCATTGGCATTTTAGCCTTCCACTGCGCTATCCTGTACTATGTGAGAGAGGGCGGTTTTTGTTCTGGTCTGCACCGTTACGGTATGCAACACTTCTCTATGATGATGCAACCAGAAGAACTTCAGCAGCAGAACTGATGTACACGAAGATGTCGTCCATGCAGTCCTCCTCTGTCCCACTCGCGATTGCTGTCTGTCCCCCACATGCAGACCACCATGTCTAAGAACCACCTCCCAATACCCCACCGGCTCCCACACATGTACGACTGGCTATAGCTGACGTCCCAAGCAGCGCTCAACTGCTTCTCTTCCTTGCGCCCATGTACGGCCACTCTCTGACCAGCACCCGTGCATCCACCACACAAAGTGGAAGCGCTGCTGCACAATGACCTCCAGCCAGATTAACTGGCCTGGAGGCCAGCACTTTCCTATATGGAAAAGTGGCAGCCACACTTGGCCTCCCCCTGCCTGGACGCACAGGTTACCAGTAGCTTCACATCAAGGCCCAGTATCTGAGCCCAGGGCCTCTTTCGAAAATGGTCCGGGCCCCAAGCAGTTAGGGGCGCAACTGTATGACATGGCCTCTGCTGTTTGCTGCGTCCTCATTGGCCAAGAGGGCGTGTGACAAAGCAGCGTGTGGCATCCATATAAATGGCCCGGTCACACAGCCCTGCGTGCCTCAGACACCGGCAAAGACTGCCAGGCTCTCAAAGATAACCGGTTCCCGCGGCCTTCGAACAACCCCGAAAATGCTGGGCGCCACGGGCAAGGCAAAAAGGGCCCCTGTGAGGGCTCACATCCTCCAATTGCCGTAAAAAAATATTCTTATTCCCGTTTTTAACTAGGAAGATTTTCATGACCGGTCGGTCTGAACCGGCCGGTCACCTGGGCGTGATGCCCAGGATACTCGGGCATGGGGAAAAGATAAAAAAAAAATAAAATAATAATAATAAAATTTGGCGGTGGGTTTTTTTCGCGCTCTCCGAGAGGAGCCCAAATCCGGGCTCTTTTATTTTTTTGAGAGTTGGCTGTCAAGGGGGGGGAAGGGGAGGATAAATGAATTTTAAAGTGAAACGGTTTTCACCTTCACGGTAGGAGATGCAGCACCCAGGGCTTGATCCCTAGTCCTTCCCTTCACCTGTGTACAGTACTTGTGAGCCCGTGTGTGTTTGAACCCACGACCTGCGTTCTGAAAGTTGTATGTTTAGCCATTGTAGGTAGGTCGGTCGTCGGGTCTCGAGCTGTAGGTCAGCGTCTTAGGAGTCGTAGCATTAGTATAGGTCGTAGCTGCTATAGTACCGAGAGGTTGCCTAGGTTGTAGCTGCTACAGTACCGAAAGGTCATGCAGGCTAGACTAGGGGCTTGTAGATAAGTGGACCGATGGAAGTGAATGCCCGGACGGCTGACTTTGTCCCTGTATTTAGGCACTCGAGGTAACCCTCGGTGTCGGTATGGATGTGCAAAGCGGGAAGACGGGATGGGGTATTCTGAATAAGGAGGAAAGGGCGAATGCCTTGCCGAAACCTGGGTACCGCGCTCGCGACGGTTGAGCTGCGCTTGAGGTATGGGATAAAACTCTACCGATAGTACCAGCGGAGGGACCATATTGGGATGGTCGGTGAGGAGATGACCGACCCGTATGTGAGGTTGCCTGATTTTTTTTCTGTGTTCCCCCTCTGTAAAAATTGATTGAGCTTGGACTGTTGGACGGGACATATCTCTAAGTCTATCCCCCCCCCCCCATCTAAGTCCGCACGAGTGAGAGATGATCGGAAGGAAGGAGGATAGAGGTTAATTGGAATGGAACCAAGAGAAAGAATGTGGGCAAATGGATGGTCGGCCGAGGGAATTATAGGAAGGGGGTACTTAGGAATGGGGAGGTAAAATAGGGAGACCTTGACGAGGGGTCAGAAATAATTCTTATCTAGGGCAAAGGTTGACCTGACCAAAAGGACCGGTTGATGCCCTTTTTATGAAAACAGGGGTCGGGTGCTGAAAACAAGATGGCGCGATGGTTGCCTTCCACGATCTATACTAGCGGCCCGGAAATTGCAATAGATGTAAAGGATGGGGTATCGGTCGTCCTCCCGGAAAATGGGATGTGGGCGGACCTTGAACCAGCGTATCAAACGGTAATGCAAGAAGGAGAGGATGCTTTTCTTTGGATAAAAACAGTATGGACCAATGTCAGCTTGACGAGGTTGTCGCCAAGTTTAATGGATTTGGAATTCCGAGGGACAGTGGAAGCCCGGGGGTGGGTCTACTTGTCGCGAGATGGGGAGAAAGCTAGGATCATAGAGTTGACACTTGGGAATACACCGGATGAGTTGTTTAGGAAGGCAGAAGCAGAGGTTGTGTAAGTTGCATGCCAACGGAGGGAAATGGAAATGGAAAGGGTAGATGTATGGGTGGAACTCGGGGACCGGGAAAACATGAGACGTCCTCTTAGGACAATGAGGTGCGTGCTACCTTCGTTTCGGGTGGTGGCAGTCTTTGGGACCAGGGATAGACTGGAACGTATATGCCAATCGATGACACGCGTGAGGCTGTACCAATGTGCTAGACAAAACTTCTTTAGATTATCGGTGGAGGCAGGGCCGTTTGAAGGAAACTGGGCGGAAGAATTAGCTGAGGTGCTAAACCTCCTCAGTGCGGATGAAGTCTTTGTTCCTAGTTCGGTGCATTGGCAGATAGTCTACCGAAACTTGGCAGCAGGGGAAACGTTCTTGGAAGGGGTAAAGGAGATGTTCGTAGACGAGGAGGAGGATTTCGGTGATGAGGAGGACGGGGACAAGATAGAGGACTGAGACTTCTGGGGGGGGGGGCCTTACCCGGGAAGAACGGGTTGTCAACCATGTGCAGGTAGGGAGCAATGAACCGGGAACTCGAGCCATGGGATTGTACATGGGAACCAAGACGAATCGGAAGGGGAGTAGAGATGTCGGTACCGCCGAGCTATGAATGGAAGGGGACCACATGTGATTGGCGGGGGTATGAGATTGTGCCGGAGCTATCGTACCTATGGATAGAGCGAGTCTGGAACCCGTTGAGGGAAGAGGAAGGATGGGAAGAGATAGCAGGAGGGAGGGTGGAATCAATCGGGACGATTGTTCTTTCCGAACAAGGTTGGCACCTGTTCTGCATAACGCTCGCGGCAGGACAGGACCCGATGTGGCTTTTAGGGGACACTGAGGCAAGGGCTCGACAGGCGGGGGAAAGGTTTGCTAACAAGGGTTGGGATACGGTCACCAATAGAGTCGTGATGGGAGGATGGAAGGAATTTAAACCGCTTGGCACCCGAACCAAGATCTGGGTGCCCGAGTTCGTGGCGGACTGGTTTGGGGGCTTTGAACATGTAACAGAGGTGGTGAACACGATGGAACGAACACACGTGGACTGCGCATGGCTGGCAGAGGAATTCTATAGGACGTCCTTGAAATTCGGGCCCTTCCACGGCGATAGAGCCCGGGAGGTTCTTATCATTTTGGAAATCGAAAGGAATGACCAACAGGAGGTGGCCCCGTAAACTAGGGAGGCCATAATCCGCCGTGAGGTGGCAACAACACCCTGTTATGTGGACGATGTGTTCAAACTGTTCAAAGTGTTGTGGTTTGACTAAGCGCAGGAAAGCCGTGGGGCCAGGCAAATATGGGAAAAATTGCTAAGATAAGGGAATGGGATGTCTGGCCATTGTAGGGTTCAGTGTGGATCGCGAGAGAGAAGACCAAGGACAAGAGCGCAGATGGCGCGAAGAAGGACGTTTCTTGAGGACCGTCCGTTGGGCATTGAGCCGCTCAGGGACGTGGATGGTAGGATAGAAATTAGCCTGCCGACCGCAAATGAGGGATGGCACCCAGTGGTGGATTGGGTCGGGGTTGAACTTGTGGAAAACATGGTTTACCTAGTGACGAGGGTTGAGTGGCGTGCGGATGAGAATGGGGAATGGAACTTGGACCCGCGGGGACATGTGTGGGCGGAAGGGCGGCTGTATGTGTCAGAGGACGGGTGGCGGGAGTTCGGAGTCCGGTTGGCATCAGGAGAAGACCCGCTGAGTATGTTCGAAGGGGCATGGCAGTTAGTGTGGCAAGCGGGGTTCAAGTTCACGGATCCAGGAGGCGACGATGTAACGACGGACCTTAGGGTAGCCATGGTCGTGAGTTTTGAATTGCCTAGTGCGAATGTGCGGATGAGGCTGCCGTCCTTTTTGCTGGAAAGGTTGGGCGGCCTAGGACTTGTTAAGACAAGCGGTAGCCGACCTTGTGAGTCTGACATATGAAGATGCGATTGTACATCGAGAGTATTATCGGGCCTTGCTAGAAATGGGGGCGTTTAGTGGTGAATAGAAGTATGAGGTGTTGCGCATCCTGCGTGCTGTGTTTGGCACTAGGACAAGGGCTCCGGTCGTTGGTGGTGAAGTCGTGTTGGGTGTCGTTCGACGGGAAATAAGCCAAGGGATGGCATACGTGGATGATCTATACCGATTGTATGAGCCGATGAAAGTAGGAACAGGTCGGTAATAGGGTCGAAAGAAAGGGGAAGGAAAAAAGGGGAAAAGAAGCGCCAGGCTAGGGACCGGAGAGTTGTTCGGGCGGAGAACTGAAGACCAAATGAAATAAGTAGACTTGCTTGCTGTTTAAAACTGTGCAGGAGATTTCTCAGTCCAAAATGGCGATGAGACGCGCCCGGATGTCACGACGGCCCACGTACCCGCGACCACCCACAGAAAGTGGAGGTGGATGGGAGGTATCGCTTCCAGCAAGCTACATGGTCCGAGGACTGGATACCGAATGGATGGCCGTGACCTTGGGAAGGGATCAGGCGTTCATGATGGTGGAATGTTTGTGGGATGGTATGAGGATTAATAGGGAACCAGGGGACGACCTGTACACTGACCTTAGGGTGACGGGGACCGTATACCTGCCGGAACTAGGGTGGTACATGTTAGGAACGGAACTGGCGCTAGGGCACGGTCTGTTACCAATCTTCCAGAGGGCTATTAGGGTGCTGAACTGAGTAGGCCAGGAAGTGCGAGGGAGAAGGAATGTGGGACTGAGAACCCGGTTGGAGATTGGAGGTTGGCGGGAATTTAAGGCCCCAATGACAGCGCTGAGGTGTCGAGTGCCTCGCTTCATGGTGGACCTGGTGTTCGGCAGCCTCGCAAGGGTGAGGGATCTGGTGGATTCGACCCTGGTCTGGATTCACCACTTCCGACCACAGACAACAGGGATGTTTTACGATGTGTCGGTCAGGCATGGGCCGTTCTGGGGAAATCAGGCCTGGGAATTACTAGACCTCATTGAAATTTTGATATTCGGGTTGCCTCGCTTGACGTTTGAGGAATATGAACCAATAATCATTAGGGAAATAGGGATGGGAGAAAACTACCTTGTCGGGGTGGCTGACCTGTTCGAGGAACCAGACGAACAAGGCAGGTCTGAAGGACCAGCGTGAGGAAAGGCGCCAAGGAAAGGCGGGAAAAATAGAGGATGGATATGAAGATAGGAAGGTAGCCATCAGCAGAAGGGGGTTGTGGTCGGAGTTCCGCCGTTCCCAAAGATGTGGCAGGAGGGAACTGGGAAGACCACCCGCGCTGAAGGACGTTGGGGCATCCGGGTGTCGGGACGTCAAAAGGGCTACCCTCAAGGGGAGAGCCACTAGCCCCAGACACCGCCGTAAGGGACCAGGGCACGGCAGTGAGAAAACGCCAAAGCTCGGCAGCAAGCCTTCCGACAGAAGCAAGATAGAACGGCGCCCTGTAGGAAATTCTTAGGTAAGTCGTCCCGACAAAATAAGACGGGAAACAAGGAAATAAGTAAGAATGAGGGGACCCTAGGGGCCGGGAACTAGGGAAGCTAGGAACAACCGGCCGTTTCGCAAAAAATTTTTTTCCATGTGCAGGGTTGGTAATTGGATGGCGTAGGAAGAAGAGGTTGAGGAACTGCGAAGCGAAGAAAGTCAGGGCACGGGCAGGGGTACGGAACAAAACGAAGAGTCAGTAAAGGATCGAGAGGCAGCGAAACTAGAGGGAACTAGGGAAGATGGGAAGGATCTTTCGACGGGCGAAAGTTCGGGGAAAGTCGGGGGTAGCAAAAGAGGACCTCAGGAAAATAGGGAAGGAAGGGACAACGAAAGGGCGAGTCTTCGAAACTCGAGGGGAACCACGCCCAAGAAAATGAAAGTCTCGGATGCACGCCGTAAGTTGGCAGAAATAGAAAGGCAGAGTGCGGAATATAAGGCGAGACTTATCTAGCAAATGATGGCTGGGAATGAGGAGGATCCCCAGGGGGAAGGGTCATGAGAGGGACGCAGGACCAGTCAAGGCGAATAGCCGAACCAGTGTAGCAGACATAGTATATATGGCAGCATATAAGTGACTCGCTAAATATAGAAAGGGGGCGCCTCGCGTGTGCGTTTTTTTTGCAAGAACCACCAGGATGACGTCTCGGCAAAATTTGAGGGGCCGAAAGGGTTTCGTAACTTTTTAGGAGCCAAGACATGATGAAAAATCCCTAGGAAGTCGAGAGAAGGTATCAACCAGCGGGCAACCGGAATCGAGCAAGGCATGGGTGTCCGAAATGGGGGAATAAGCGGTTCTGCTTGTCTGTCCTGCATGTGACATTGGTAAGAGAGACCATCGAAACAGTAGCAGAGGTAGAGGGCGAGAAAACATCTAGGGTAGGGAGAACCCTAAAGTGCACAAGGAAGCGGGAGGACAAGCATTAAGATGATTTGAAGACGAGAACATTTCCGGAACTGATAGCGATAGCAACATGGATGGTCGGAATCCGGGGGAACAAGACGGTAGCATAAATGCCGACCGACGATTCAACAGCGAAGGGGTTAAAGGCAACGTGAGGTGGATTTTGGAAAAAGGGAGTTATACCGGGAGGAGGCCTGCAGAATCTCGGGGAATGAGGCCAATCGTAGTCAGAAATACGGAAGAGTCACAAACCTCGGTGGGTGGAGTGACAAAGAGAAGGAAGGTAGCAGATACCCTACGAAGACTTAAGGATGTGGAGCAGATGATAGCAACTTACAAGGCTGGTGTAATTGAAGAAATGATAAAAGACATTGAGGGTGAGGATGACGATAAGCTACACAATGATGAGTGGCAAGGTGAGATGCAACGAGAGCGCATCATTGGGAAGCCTGGTGAATGGGGGACGGGCGAAAACGCGGGGGAAAAAGAGGGGGTGCGACCTTCCAGGGTAGGAACCGCAAAGGAAATAAGGAAGCAAGGAACGGACCATCGAACGAGCCTGCAGACAGGGGGACAATCCTTGTCAAATGAAGACTATAGTGAGTTGTGGAAGGTCTTAGAAACAACCGGGTACGGAGTGAAAAAGGGGTCGGGAGAGTTGCACGATCAAGGCGAAGGGGCGGACAACGAGAGGGAAAGGATAGGGGATACCCTCCGGATGGTGCAAACCCGCGTATCTCGAACTCCGTTGGTACCCCAAGAAGCTCTAGCTCCAAGACCCGAGCGCCGAACCGGTCGGAGAGATCCTTCGAAGGAATCATGTCGATATTGCACCTTGATGGGACACTTCGTTAGGCTTTGCCCGAAGCTTAACCACGACATCATAGGAGGGCTGTGTTCTAGGACCCTCAAGGGACAGATCCTGGGTCCTAACGGAGAAAGGGTTGACTGGAATTCGCACGGGGGGATGAGACGCGTTATAGCAACATTAAACAACCTAGACCTTTCGGTAATGGAGAGAGGAAGTGGGCGAGCTTTGTTGAGGGCCGACATGTAACCACGAGAAGAAGCGGGGTCGTGGGTAGGACGGGACCGCCGCTTGAGAAAGGAAGGACGGACACAACTGGACCTCAACAACAAGAGGGCACCAAGATGAGCGATGCGACGTGAGGACCGGAGGTTGTGAGGGCAAGTGTGGTCGAGGACAAAAAAAAAAAAAAAGGGGGTTTGAGGAGATCATCACCAAGCTATCGATACTTATTGCGAAAGAGAGGCGGAGGAAGTAACCAAGTTGGAAGAGAAAAGGAGGACCTTAGGCTGATAACTGTAAGGGAACATTACGAAGTGGCATAAGGATTTTGGGCAATTACGCAGCCAGTGGTTTTATCAATGGTTTAATGTAGTACCTGGGCCATCAGGGTTGGAAGAGAGATGAGGAGGGGCGAGTTGGTCACAGTGTCGACTTTCCACGGTGAAAGAGTACTTGAGGTGTCCGCAGGAAGGAAAGGATAGATTTTCTTGATTATTAGTTAAGCTGGGATACGCCCCGCAATTAAAGGTACTTGAAGAGGCTAGGGGACAAGGGATCAAGAAGGAAAATTGAGCCGCGGCAAGAGAAACCACGTAGACAGGTTGAATGTGGGATAGAAGATGGGGAAGTGGTCATCTCGGCCGTCTTTTGGGATGTGGTCTGGATTATGCGAAAGTTTGACAAGGGCAAGACAGACTGATGCCGATCTCTAGATGCTACCTCCCGCGCAAGTTATTTTGAGATATTCAAGTACTGGCTGAGACCTTGAGATAAAGACTGATGGCAACAAAAGAGAGTAGGCATGACATGAGTTTGACAAATGCCTGTTAGGAACATCAGTGGTAGGGCGTGGCTAGTGGGAACCAGGCCGTTAAAAATGAATGGGGCAGGGACTAGTCAAGATTTAACATGAATAAGCAGGTAAACAGTTTTCGAGACGCCTCTTTTGGCAGGCTACCTTGAAAGGTTCCTGCAAAGACAAGGGCTGACGGAAAACATTTGTGTGAAACTAGCGAGGGCGGTTGTATTATGGCCTTGAGAAACTAAGATTGCATTTGGAAAAGAGGCTATGAAATTTGGCTCGTTGAGGAGAGCAAGGCATTCGACGTTGGTCGAACACGAGAGAGGTTAGGGGACCTATGGGTAAAGAGGCACGTAGAGCCTCTTCCCTAGGAGCCTAATCCAATTGGTCAAAAACAATTCTACAAGCAATGAGGGGCACGAGAGGTTGGAAGGAGAGAGGAAACATTGATTAAGCAAGCACCCTCCGCAATGGTTGAACGACCGGGCGGGCTAGTGCTGCCTGGGGCTGCGAGCCCTAACTCGAGTATTAGACGCTAAGTCGGATGTATGTATGGACACGAGAACGACAAATGACACAAGAAAGAGGAAGAAGCATGCGTAAAAACCCAAGATAATGGCCACCCTCTAACCCCTGAGACGGGAATAGGATCCGTATCCTCGAGGCTCATCCCCTCGGGCGCTAACATTGGAAATGGATAAGGATGGCCCTAACCAGGCTGTCCAACTGAAATGGATAAGGATGACCCTAACCAGGCTATCCAATGGAAATGGATAAGAATGACCCTTACCAGGCTGTTTGACTTGGAATTGGAAAGAACGACCCTAACCAGGTTGTTCGGAATGGCTCCTGACAAGGGTCATTCTTTGGAATTGGCACTGGGGTCCCCTTGCATGGTTGCTTGAGAGGCATGAGATTGGAAAGAGTTGAGCCTTGGAAAAGATATTAACCTGAGCCTTGGAAAAAATACGAGACTGAGCCTTGAAAAAAAAAAAAAAAAAAAAAAAAAGATATTGCACTCAGCCTTGGTAAAGATATTGAACTCAGCCTTGGAAAAGATATTGGACTCAGCATTGGAAAAGATACTGGATTGAGCCTTGGAATTTGATTGAGAATTGAAATTGGATTGAGCATTGGAATTGGAATGAGCATTGAAAATTGCATTGCATAAACAGGGGACCCTAGGCGGCTTGAAATGGACATGGAAATAGCGTTGAAATGGATTTCTCTTTCTTCTAGTCCTTGGCCTCAGCAAGAGGGGGGTAACGGTGCTTGCACCGCGACCTCACGACCTATATCCCTTAAAGGGAAAAGTCT